GTGTCCCACCCTGCGTGTCCCAGCCCTGCTGACCCCGCTGTCCCCTGCAGTGAACCAGAGGACCCTGACAGCCGACCTGAAGGACCTGCACAGCACGGTCAGTGACATCCAGAAGGCTTGTCACAGCATGCCCGCCACCGCCGAGGACAGGTTTGCCATTGTCATGACCGTATCCTTCTGTGAGAGGGGAGCCAGCCCTGAGTGCCCCCAGGGACCCCCGACACTGCCTAGGGCTGTGCCTGGCACTGCTGGGAGCTGCCCCTGCTCTCAGCCAGCCTGGTGAGCAGGTTTGGGGTGTCCCTGTGTGGCACAGCCCCAGGAACGTGCTGGGACATCTGTCCTTGGGAGCTGTGCTGACAGGGACAGCCAGCACCTCCACGTGTGCCTGTCAGCATCTCCTGCTGCCATGTGATAAGAGATTGATAAGGGGGATGAGACCCAGCTATCTGATAAGAGGTTGATAAGGGGGGATGGGACCCAGCTATCTGATAAGAGATTGATAAGGGGCTGGGACCCAGCTGTCTGATAAGGGGCTGGGACCCCTGCCAGCACCGTGGAGCAGCTCTTTGCCCTTAAGCCAAGCCCTGCAGTCCTTCCTGGAGAGTGCCCAGCCCGCCATGCGCTCCCTGGACGACCTGCAGCACAAGGCCATGGAGGAGTTCAGCAAGGTGCTGTCCTTCTTCGGGGAGGACTCAAAAATGACAACCTCCGAAGCCTTCTTTGGCATTTTTGCAGAATTCATGAGCAAGTTTGAGGTGAGTTGAAGCTTTCCAAGGCAGCAGGGATGTCCTGTGGGTGTCAGTGAGGTGTGTTATTGTGTGTGACTGGGATGGGGTTTTGTGAGCAGCTGTGCCCGAGTGAGAGGAACTTTTCTGATGCTGATAAGGTGCAATTTTTCTGACACAAATGTCAGATGGCCAGGGTGGGACACTGAGGGAGGCCCCAAGCCCCAGGGGAGAGTGATGGGGTTGTTCATACTGGAATGGTTTGGGGTGGAAGGGACCCTAAAGATCACCCCATATTCCATCCCTGNTGGGAGATGGAAGGACCCAGGGCCAGGAGCTGACCAGCCCCTCATGCCCTGCTCTCCCTTTGCAGTTCGTGCTGGCCATGGGGAACTACCTGAACAACGGGCAGCCGAAGACCAGCAAAACCACAGGCTTTAAAATCAACTTCCTCACCGAGGTGAGGAGAGCAGCTCGCTCTGGGGCAGGGCACACCGAGCTGGGGGCTCCCTGTGCCCACAGAGCTGCTCTCAAAGGGACCCTGGGTGCCAGGGAGGGGGCAGGGGCTGCATTGACCCACAGGGGGGACTTCAGAGAGGCTCTGCTGTGGTTCTGGTGGGAACTGTGGGCTGGCCAGAGCCCAGGTGTGCGTTGAGAGGTGCTCACCCCATAGGGGCTGCAGGGGGACACCTGAGGGCTGGGGACAGGGGACAGCCCTGCCCTGCAGGAGGTTCATCTCCAGCACTAATCTGTGAACATTAACTGTGTGTGAACATCAAACGTGCAGTTTAACCCTTAGCCCCAGCACGAGGAGCAGCCCACCCCGGTGTGTGTGAGCCCTCAGGTGGGATCCTCACTTGTTCTGCTTTGCTGCAGCTGAACACGACCAAGACTGTGGATGGGAAATCCACCTTCCTGCACATCCTTGCCAAATCCCTCAGCCAACACTTCCCAGAGCTCCTGGGCTTTGCCAAGGACCTTCCCACGGTGCCGCTGGCTGCCAAAGGTAAAGGAGAGAGGAGCTGCAAGCCCGGGTGTCCCTGCACTGCCCCTGGGCTGGGTGGGAGCCTGGGCTCAGCTGGGAGCTGCACAGCCTGGCAGGGGCAGGATGGAGCCTGGGCAAACGAGGAAAGGTCCTGAGCACGTGAGGGAAGGTCCTGAGCAGCAGGAGAGCCTTGGGAAGGGCTGAGCCGACAGTGACAGTGACAGTGACAGTGAGGTGTCACCCATCCATCCCACACTGCTGCCCCTGGGCAGGGCTCTGCTCCAGGGAGCAGGGGAATGGCCTCAGGCTGGGCTCAGGGTGGGATTTTAGGGAAAATTCCTGCCTGGAAACGCTGCCCAGCCCTGGCACAGCTGCCCAGGGCAGGGGTCCCCATCCCTGAGGGGATTTGACAGCCCTGTGGATGTGGCACTTGGGGACAATGCTTGGGTCAGTGGTGGCTTTGGCAGAGCTGGGGAAACAGCTGGACTGGATGACCCTGGAGGGCTTCCCCCAACCTAAATGATTCCACAATCTGTGATTTTAAATGATGCATTGAATCCCTGCAAAGCATGAGCTGCATTCCCCTTGCACACCATCCCCTGCTGTTTGTGAGCAATTCCCTTGGGAATTAGTGCTACAGTGCATAAATAAAGGAGCAAACTCCAGCCTGGAGCTGTGAATTTCCACCAGAGGAAGGTCTGTACCTGGAGCTTTCCCAGCTGGAATTTGTGTCACAGGTTCTTGGATTGGGGAAGAGACGAGGATGTGACTCCATGTTTCAGAAGGCTGATTTATTATTTTATGATATATATTACATTAAAACTATGCTAAAATAATAGAAGAAAGGATTTCACCAGAAGGCTGGCTAAGAATAGAATAGGAAGGAATGATAACAAAGGCTTGTGGCTCAGCTCTCTGTCCAAGCCAGCTGACTGTGATTG